AGCGCGCAGGACTTCCCTGCGCGCACCTCCCCCCGCACTGGGGGAGATGTACGAGAGCGTGGAGGTGGGGGGGCTCGCCCCGGCCCCCAATCCCTTCCTGGTGGTGGATTTTTATAACCAGAACCGGGCCTGTTTGCTCCCAGAGAAGGGGCTTCCGGCCCCCAGCTCCTACTCCACCCCGCTACGGACTGCGCTTTGGAATGGCTCAAACCTCTGTAGGTACCGGGCTGGCCTGCCTGCGAGCGGCTCCACCTCCGGGTGCGCCGTCCTCCACCTTGGGTCAGCTGTGGCTGCAGCTCGGGGCTCTGCTGGGCAGCGGCCACCTCCGTAACCCCAGGGCACTGGGTGTTCTGTTAGGGCGAGGAACTTTGAGGTTCCTCCTCCCAGGACACACTCGTGCGTCTCCACTTTCCTGGGGGACATTAGTCCCTGGCCCCCGGTTTCCGCTTCTTGCTCACGACGAGTCTCTGAACCTCACAGCAGGCTGGAGGGTGGGTGCAGGACGAGCCGGTGGGCTTATCCGTTCCCGGGACCCCTGCCAAGGCCAGGGGGAGCCCCCTCCCAGGTGACAGCTGCTGCGTTTGGGTCATTAGAGTTGGTGTTGGGAGGGTGCCCTGTCTTTGGGCTGGGAAGGGTGTCAGAAGGTCAATTTCAGACCCTGTCTGCCATCCTGGCCGACCCTTCCATCGCAAGGAGGGGCAGTGCCCCTCAAGGTGGTCCTGGCCCAGCCCTGGATGTTCCTCCTCTAAGGCTAATCTGGTTTGTTTTCTGGGGGAGGAGTTTGCTTCTGGAGGGTGTGGGGCTGCTCCGGAAATGCAGTGTGAGCCCCCCATTCGCTGAGTCCTTTTGTTACTTGTTCAAGCATAAAGAGGGCCAGCCTTGAGCTGCCCCTAAGAATGGCCCTAATGGGAACCTTGTGTCCTGGCAGCCCTGTACCTTCTCCAGGGTGGGTTCAGGCCCCTGGGGAAGGAGGCCTTCAGGCACACCTGGGTGAGGAATGTGCACTGGGTGTCAAGGGGAGCAGCTACTTGGGGTTATTGGTAGGTGGCTTGGGTTTCTCCCCCCTGCCCTAGGCTCAGCTCTTCCCAGGAGGTCCCCACTGTCCCAGACCTGCTGCCACCTGTCTGCCTGCCAGTGAGGAGGGGTGGCCTGGAGAGAAGGCCCGAGGGCCAAGGCTTGGCCCTGCCTGCAGCTGCTCTGGCTTGAGGGATCCCTGGGGGGTCAGACAGCCACCTCTGTCCTCCCAGGGACATCCTAACCCCAGCCTTTCCTATTGCCCTGTCCCCCTGACCTCTGCCTCTGGGCAGAACTGGCTAGGCTGTGACCAGGAGGGAGGAGTGGGTGGGTGACGGTTGGCTTTGGAGAGAGGCCGGGGGGACACCAGGACTGTCCATTATCCCAGCACTGGGGGAAGGGCCCCTTGCCCTTCCCAAGGGGGTCAGGGCAGAGCTGCCAGGCCCACCCCTCCTCCGCTGGGGAAGCTGGGCTCTTCTGTCCCTGGGGAAGGCTCAGCTGTTCCCACCTCAGAACTCTGAGAATCCCCAGCCCTGGACGCGGGTCATGGATGCCTCAGCGGCTGGGCTCCTCTCCCCGCCGAGGCCCACAGGAAGGGCTGGGACTGGGAGGGCCACTAGACCCTGCCTGGTCCCCGCCGAGGCCCACAGGAAGGGCTGGGACTGGGAGGGCCACTAGACCCTGCCTGGGATACTCAGGGCCGATGTCACCGCCTTGCCAGGCGCCCTTTGCCGGGGGTGGGTGGGTGGGGGAGGCCCTTCGGTGGCTGGAGTTCCTTGCAGCCCCTTCTGGGGCAGGCTGCACTTTCCCTGCCTCCACTGGCGTTGGGAGAAAGCTCGGGGTCTGGGGACCCACAGGGGACACGGGGTGCGCAGGACGTGGCATCCTCTGTGCCCCCCGCCGCCTTGCCGGCTCCCAGACGTCCAAGAATGCGAAGCACGTGGATGCCCGTGGGGGAGGGGAGGGCGATGCTTATCGGGTGGAGGCCGGGACGGGCGGGACCTGCTTCCGCCTGGCCCCTCGTGGACCCCGGGAAGGGGAAGGGCAAGGGCGGTGGGAAGGCTGGAGACTGCTGCCGGCCCTCCCTGGCGTTGTACGGGGAGCTGGAGCGAAGGGCTCGGGCTGCACGGGAGGGGTGCGCTGGCAGGCGATTTCCTGCCATCGCCTCCAGGAAACTGGCCCTTCTCGAGCCAGCAGGCCCCTTGGCCGGAGTGGGCCGCTCTGGGGCGTGGGGACTCCCGTCTAGGGGGGAGGGGGTCCTGGGCTCCTGGGCCGTTTCCAGCCCTTGCAGGGCGCTGGAACTTTGAGCCGAGAAGGTGTGGTCCTGCCGCAGTGGAGCCCACACGCAGGAAAGGGAGAGATTTGCGGGCTGGGGCCTCGGATGGGGAAGAGGGCTGGGAGGGCCGGGCCAGGGCGACGCTCCCTCTCCTCCTGCTCCACCCCCGTGTGCAGAGTCCCGTGCTCCCCAGCCCTGCAGAGGCCACGGTGGGCACCTCTGCTCTGGTCCTGGGCTGCTGGCTAGAGGCCTGGGGAGGTGGGGACTGGGCCCCAAGCTCTGGGTTCAAAGGGCAGTGCAAGGAAACCTCAGCGCCGTTACCTGGGTGACAGGTGGGGAGGGGAGGAAGCCTCACCCGCCCACATCAGCCTGGCCTTGGGTCATCTGGCCCTTCCTGCCGAAGACTTTCAAAGGCACATTCTTTGGGCGCCATGAGCACCCTGCAGACTTGGCCTAGCTCCAGAGTTCTGTGGGCCTTTGCTCCGCTGGGAGGTCCTAGCCTGAGAGTGGTCCGTCCCTCATCCCTGTGTCCCTCTCTCCTCTCTGAACGCTAGAGCCCCGCAGTCCTCTCCGGGTGCAGTCTGGCTCCTCTCAGAGCAGGAGCTCTCCAGGTGCAGGGTGAGAGCAGGGGAGGCCGGCGCTCTGCCTTTTGGAATGCTGACTGGACGCTGGGCCACAGCCCCCACCCTGTCCTTGATGCCCCCCCACTGGAGCCTGGATTGTCTATTGTTACTGCTTTTACGTCTTGGAAAAAGTTAGCACAACAAAGGGCTCCTTTGTGGCTCACCCCTCTACCTCCTGGGCCCCCGCAGGCCCCCGTCTGTCCCCCAGCAGCTGTTCCTGGCCTCCCTGCTCTGAGTCTCTTGCCTGGCCTATGGAGGCTGTGGCGGAAGAAACAGCCAGGGCTGCTTGGTCACTGGGGTGGCAGTGAGGAACCTGCTAGGCCCATAGAGGTGCAGGTCAGTGGTGGGGAAGGGGACATCAGAGGTGGGCAGCAGGCTGACCGGGGAGGTGGTGCCCAAGGCAGCAGAGCCCTGTCAGGGCTGTTGGTCTGGTTCTTGTCACCACCTGCTTGGCAGGCGCTTGTGTTTGCAGGTAAGGGGCAGGGATGCCTCCTTCCTCTGTGCCTGGACGTGTCCGAAGGTTCCTGGGCTGTGGGGCACGTGTGTACGGGGCGGGGATGGAAGGTAGCCAAGGGGACACCTTGGCCCATCTTTGGCCCCGGGCAAGCAGGAGATGCTGTGGAGGGTGCTGGGCGGCCTGGGGCATCCGGGTTGCCTCAGCTGTGATTTTATCTGTCACCCTGCACCCCCAGCTGCCCAGGCTCTGGGCACGGAGCCCCACCCAGGGCAGCCTGGCTCTGCCCGGGGTGATGGGCACGGGTCAGGCACGGGAGGTTTGGCCAGTGCCCTGCTGGCTGGGTCACCCCTCCTGGCTGCCCTCTGGGAGCCGAATGACAGGAGGGGTGGGACTGAGGCCAGAGAGCCTGAGCTCTGATGGGAACAGACCCCCTTTGTGGGGCTGGCTCCCCCAGACATGGGGCGCCTCCTGTCTTAGGGTCCCCTGTCTGCCTTCTCCACTCTGCCCCACACTGGTGCCTGGTCCCTGGCTGCCTGGTGGGGGAGGGGCTGTGGCTGCTGGCAAGGGGGCGGAAGCAGAGGGGTGAGGGAGTGGCTGGCTCTGAATATCCTGTTGACCCCCGTTTCCTCTGTTCTGGCCCAGCTTGTGTCCTCTTCCCTCCCTCCTCCTCAAGCCTTAACTCCTTCCTATCTTGGGGGAGCCCTGCCAGGGTGCCCCAAGCCAGGGCTTTGAATCCACCTTGCACCCCCAAGCACAGCCACACCCGAGCACACACCCATCCGATGGTTTAAATCCCAGCTTCCTGGTGTTGGGAGTGAGGGGGCTGACACCCTGCTCCAGGCTCTGGGGCACTAGGAGGCATGGCCACCTGGGTCTCTAACTGCTGCCTCTCCTCTCCCCCCAGCCATTGAGACCCAGAGCAGCAGCTCAGAAGAGATCGTGCCCAGCCCACCCTCGCCACCGCCCCTGCCCCGCATCTATAAGCCCTGCTTTGTCTGCCAGGACAAGTCCTCAGGCTACCACTATGGGGTCAGCGCCTGTGAAGGCTGCAAGGTGAGTCTGGTCTCGGGAGGACCTCGAGGGGACCCTGGCTGCTGCTGCTGCCTTGGCCTCTGTGCGTAGTCCCGTGTGGCTGTCCCTGAAGCGAAGCTGAACTCCTTCCTACCCTGGGAGCGGTCCCGGGGAGGGGACACTGGCTACTTGACCTCTGACAAGCAGGGCTCCCCCAGCAGAACTCCTCTCTGGCCTCAGCGCCTCGCCCTGTGCCCATCGCCCAGCTGGCAGGGCGTGCACTGGTTCTGCCACTGCTGCCCAGGTTGCCATGGTGAGCTGGCTGCCCATAGCTCCCGGCTGCGGACCTGCGAGGCCTGCCCCCTGCTGCCTGCTTGGACCTCGCCGTGCAGCTAGGAGGGAGGTGGTTCGAGTGGGCACCCTACCTTTCCTCCCCTTCAGGTGCCCAGGCTGTGGGCTGCAGGGTTCAGTGTGGCTGTGCCTCCCCAGCAGCTCTGGGCCGGGCGTCCCCTGCGCCTCTCCCCAGGGCCTGAGCCTCTGCACCGGATTCTCTGCCGGGGACAGGGGCTTGTGTGCTGCCCAGCATGGCAAGGGTGATTTAGGAAAAATCTTCTCTCAAAATAAAATAAAAGGGGCGGAGGAGGAAGCTCAGCACTGTTGGGTTCAGTCCTCAGTACCACCTTCAAAAACACAGGAGACGGCCCAGGTTTGGGGGCTGCGCCTCAGTCTGGAGCGGCCATCCGTGGGAAGACAGGCCCAGGGCGATGCACGGGCCTCACGGAGGGGTCTGCCTGCCCCTTCCATCTGCCTCTCCGTCTCGGGGTTGGCTTGTGCAGCCTCGCACATCCGCCTGGTCACCGCACTGCTCCTGAGAGCATAAGGCTGTGTCTGCCCCTCCGTCCTGCTCTCTGCGTCCCGAGGCCGGGGCTCTGGGTTCCAGGTGCCTTCGTCACGTGCACCCATCCTCATCTGTGTCCTCAGCCCCGCCAACATCCTGTCCCCAAGAGAGGATGTGGGTGCAGGTGGGGGGTCCCAGGTCCCCAGGAGGGCGGTCAGCGCTCAGGAGGGTGATGGGCTGGGCCTGACTCCCTCCCTCTGCGCCCAGGGCTTCTTCCGCCGCAGCATCCAGAAGAACATGGTGTACACTTGTCACCGGGACAAGAACTGCATCATCAACAAGGTGACCCGGAACCGCTGCCAGTACTGCCGGCTGCAGAAGTGCTTCGAAGTGGGCATGTCCAAGGAGTGTGAGTGCGCGGCTGCGGCCTGGGCTGCGCGCGTCCGCGTGTGGGTCCCCGCCCCGGTGCCCCCAGCCGCGTGCGTGCCTGTCTGTGTCCGGTGGCTTCCTGCCCAGCCCATGTGGCTTTGCAGCAGGGACAGGATCTGAACCTGGGGCCGGAAGCCATCCTCTGAGGAAGGCCGAGCCTGGAGCTCAGAAGGGAATTGGGATCCTTGAGGCGCGGGGGTGTCCCGACTGGGCCCAGCTGAGGCCCGAGTGGGGAGGCGGGGGTGGGGGGAAGGCCGGACAGGGTTGAATCACGGGTGTTGCTGTGGTGACCGGTGATTGATGATGTCAGAGATAAATGACGCTGACAGACGCCTCCTTGTCTGCGTGGCCGTTGCCATGGAGCCTGAGCCTTGGGGGCTGCGGTGGGGGAGGGGGCTGCAGTACCCCCGAGCCCTTTGTGGAGAGGAAGTGGGGGGTTAGGGAGATCTTGGCTCTGTGGTCTGACTCATGCCCCAGGAAGGAACCAGGGCGACCTGAGCATGGAGATGTCTGCAGCCAGGAGACTGGGGTGTCTGCTGGGGTCCCCAGCCCACGACATGGCGGGCCCTGGCAATTTGGGACCTGCAGGCCTGGGACGGACTGTGACCGCCTCCTCCCTCCGGGAAGGGGCCACCTTACACTCTTTTCACTGCAGAAGGACCAGGGTGGGGACCCCCTCTCCTTTCCAACCACAGCTCCCCCTTTCTCTCCCTCCTCCTCCTCTCCGCCTGCTCTGTGCCCCGGAGCTGAGCAGCTGCCATTTCAATAGAATTAAAGCTTCCGAATGATAAACGTCTTGTCACAGCTGCAATTTTCTCTTCCCAAATTATCCCCCACTCTCTCGCTCCCTCTCCCTTCTCTCCCCTGCACTTTATTGAATTTGCAGAATCGACATGAGTGATCTCCAAATTATGCGGGGAGGGGTACAGGGCACCCCACCCCCACCCCACCCTCACACTCCCTTGCTGTGCACAGGCAGCCTCCGCCACCGGCCCCTGAGTGATTGTGTGTCGGGGATAATCGGCTGGTAGCGACCCCATGGCTTCTTTAAAGCCAAGTGGTGTGTGCTGCCCAGCGCCCCTGGTGATTTGTCAGCTCCCCGCTAATGGGCCGAGTCTCCCCTTGCCCCCACTCCCTCCTCTGCCCCTGAGCGGCCCAGTCTGGGACCCCAGAGGCTGTTGTCAGGAGGGCGGAGCCGCACCCAGGCTCAGCAGGCCCCTGCGGGGGGATAGAGCAGGGGGACAGGCAGTGTGCAGATTCCCTGCCCCATGCCGGGCGTGCGTTGTGTGTCGTGTGTCGTCCATCGTCCTGTGGCCACCGCTGTGCTCAGGTCCCTGGGCGGGATTTGGTGTGTGGGTCAGGTGGACCTGGAGGGCCGGAGCGGTGCGTCCTCACCCGGCCGTGCCCGTGTGCACACGAGCGCGCTTGCGTGTGAGTGCGGGCGGCACTGACCCGCGGGACCCGCCCGGGCTGTGCCTGACCCCTGGCCCACCCTCCTGTGCCCCACAGCGGTGAGGAATGACCGGAACAAGAAGAAGAAGGAGGCGCCCAAGCCTGAGAGCTCGGAAAGCTGCACGTTGACGCCCGAGGTCGGGGAGCTCATCGAGAAGGTGCGCAAGGCGCACCAGGAGACGTTCCCCGCCCTCTGCCAGCTGGGCAAATACACTACGGTATGGCCCGCCGTCGCCTCCGGGGAGCCGGGCCAGGGCCGACCGGGGCCACTCAGTGCCTGCTCGCTGTCCCCTCCCCCAGAACAACAGCTCGGAGCAGCGCGTGTCGCTGGACATCGACCTCTGGGACAAGTTCAGCGAGCTGTCCACCAAGTGTATCATCAAGACCGTGGAGTTCGCCAAGCAACTGCCCGGCTTCACCACCCTCACCATCGCCGACCAGATCACCCTCCTCAAGGCCGCCTGCCTGGACATACTGGTGAGGCTCGCCGACCCCGCCCCACCGCCTGGAGGGCCCGGATGTGCACCCCCCACGGGCAGGATGTGCACCTGCCCTGCCC